CTGTTAAGAAAAAAGAATTTAAAAAAAAAAATAATCTATGTTGTGCTTATGCTGGATCTCAGTTTCACCTGGTAACTGTTGATTAATTAGTAGCAAATGAGAAGACAAAACATGGTTGATATTTTACATCCATCCAAGCAACAAAGCATCCAGTAAATTATACACTTTATATATATACTTTAGTGAACATGGTACCTGTGAAATAAAGTAATAGATTCATTGGCTTAGAAGCCAAAGGTCTCCACTGAACCACATCACCACACACGGCACATGCATCAACAGGGAGAATAAAACTATTTGCCTGCTAAAACAAAATAAAGTAAACACCTCTGGGAAGTAAAAAGGCAATTCTGCCAGAAAAGTCTTTGCTTTTTTTGCCAGGGCTACCGCTAAGAACGGTAACAAATACCAAATGCAGCGCTGTTCAACTTAACATGAGTCTAGTCTACGTCTAGACTTGAGCCCAACAAGTTGCTTCATCACAGGTCGATGAAAATCAGCTCAGGAAGCCTGTTTGTTGCCTAATAACATGGGCCAAACATGTACCATGACATGGAAGTGGGTCTTCTTACCCAACTGTCCTTGCCTGATTCCTCTAACGACCAACTGAAAGAATTAATCAAAAATTAGAAAAAAAACCCACATCTAGGAGGAAAGGATTGAGTTGTATATCCATTCACAGGACAAAAGCAAACACGCCCATGTTTTTTCACAGGTGTGAGTAACAAACACTAAGATGGGGAAACTGAGGCAGAGCTGCTCACGACCTTCCTGAGGCACCACAGACAATATTAGACGCCGCTGGCTCTTCCCTCTGATGTCCATGCTGCACAAACCCCTTCCCAACAGCAGGATGCGTATATTGAGGCCACCGAACTCATTTTTGTAAGACACAAAATTTAACATTTTATGCAGATCTAGTCTTCCTATTTGATTTAAAGTAGTAATGAGTTACGGTCCTTGCCCAGGAAACACTTGAACGAAGCTCCTTCATTCAAACACGATTCTTCCAAATTAACACGGAGAGGACTACATGCATGGCCACCATGGGATCCTCACTCTAAACGCCTGCCTGTACCTCAAGTCGATTTACCCAAATATTATTTACTTACAAGCCTTTCAGTGTGATTATGGTTCTCCCAGATAAGTAGAGACGTTTAAATTTTCCCTTCCCTTTTAATTTCCAAATGTTTACGCACTATAGCCTGTTTATTGAACTGTTTACTAAAGCCAACGCTTGCTCCACTTTATCAACCTCCTCCACAGTTCTTCAGAGTTTTACTCCATCACAGCTTGTTTCTGGGCCGTGAACAAATCTCTCCCTTCCCTCTTTGTCAAAACAAATATTCCTAAACACCACAATCACCCACTTCACCCTGCAATGGAGCACCTTTAAACACAAACAGACCTTTTTTCTTCAAAATCACTGCCAAAATACTAGCATGCACAGACTATGTGAGCTTTACCGCAGTTGTACTCTTGACTAATTGCTTTGAGGATTTTTCTGCGGCCCCCTAAATCTCCTTTCCTAAGTCAGGACACTGCGTCGCTGCTCCATGTAACGTGTATTCTTTGATTTGTCTTGCCGTCCCTTGGCACGTTATTTTCATGTTTATCTACGATAAGTTGCATTTTCAATCCACTGACCAAATCACCTACGGGATCTACCGTTTTTTCCACTGCTCACCGTCACTTGTTGGAGCTGCTCTGCAGAAACAACCCCAAAAAGTTCAATCGTATCCAACAGCCTCACCCAAAATCCATTACCTGTGTTACAAACAAGACAGGTTCCCAAATGAGCCTGAGTTAAATCATTCCCCTCTTAGCGATTTGGCCATCCTCAGATTCTCAGAGCATGAAAGCACGAATTCAGTGTGGCCAAATTCCATACATATGTGCTCTTCACAGTTAAGTCAGCATTTTGACAGTCTAAGCAGAATTATAGACCTAAAACTGGCTGGTGGTGGCTCCTCTGAAGTATGGACACATCACCGTGAGGATATACTTTTATATGTTTATGCACGGGAAGATCTGAAGGAGAAATAGGTTAAGGGACCTGCCCTAAACCACCAAGTCTGTGACTGAACCGAGAGGGCTGATTTGCCCAACCAAATTTAACTAACAGATTTTGAAAAATCATTGCCGTTAGGAAGAATTGCTTGACGTGTGAGAGGTCGGACTACCACGGCAGGCTGTATCCCCCTGCCTGTCTTTTAATCTCCTGGACAATCTTCCACTCAATGCCCCATTTCTATTTCTGGAGAGGTTTTCTTCTTAGTTTTCAGCCCTTATAAATCTGATCCGTCATTGCAGAATTTCTAATAATATTAGATAAAACTTCACCGATCTCTCTCTGGAATAAACTATTTAATATCCTTTATTTAAGACATGTGTGTGCAATCAATTCCGTGGTATTTACTTGTATTACACACACAGTATTCATCATCCTGACAATTTTTAAAAGTTTTAGAACACCATTTCACTTAACAGTTTAAAAAAAAAAAAAAAAAGAAAAAAGATTTATTTGATGGTTAACTTTGAAACAAGTTATCTGCATTAACTTCCATTGTTTTGGCATAAAGTAGTTCTGTATATTTTACTAACAACAGTGGAGACATGATAAAGGATGTAGGCAGAGAGCCATAAACAGCTCTCGCTGCAACCCACAGTGTTCGTGTAAAAGCATTAATTTTTCAGACTTTGATTGGAAGACGTCTCTGCGCTCAGCCACTTGGATTTTGCAAAATACAACCACGTATAAAACCTTGTACCTGAATATAACAATTTTAACTGCGGAAAGACCACTGTAAATCATATGTGGTATAAACTTGTCCACATGATTGGAATGATATAATGGATATTGTAGTCCCTAACCACTAGCTAATGTTCTTTATGACACTTAAATAAATGACCTGAAAATAAACTAATAACAACGCGAAATCTTCTAAACCTGTTCATGTGCATTTCCCAAAAGCATGCTGGAGAAAGACAATGTCTAGTTAGCACATTTTTTGTGTTTATGTTTTCTCCAGAACATTCTCGCTCCAGCTTCCAGACTCACATTAATTCTTCTTTTCTGCCACCTTCCAGACAGAGTCATCTCTCCATCCAGTACCTGCCCAGATCTTGGTCATTTATAAACCTCAAGAGCTCGCAGGACTTCTACATCACCATCCAGAACGTTATAACCTGGAGAAAAAAGCAAGCGGTCCAGTGTTTTATTTGGAGCCAGTATCTACTCCCACAGAGATCATCAGAGTTTTTTAAATCTTTATATGAATTTCAGAAGATACAACCTCAGAAAGGCTTGGTACAGGCAAGCAGAGCTGGGGCAGGAGCAGACATAGGCTTAAAAGACTAGATATAAGGAAGAGATTTTTTGCAACGAGGGTGGTAAAACACTGGCACAGGCTGCCCAGAGAGGTGGTAGAAGCCCCATCCTTGGAAACATTCCAGGGTCAGGTTGGACGGGGCTCTGAGCAACCTGATCCAGCTGAAGATGTGCCTGATCCCTGCAGGGGGGTTGGACAGGATGATCTTTAAGGTCTCTTCCAACCCAAACCATTCTTTGAGTCTAAAAAACAAGCTAGAGAGCTACCACAGCAGATAGGTAGGATTTAGTTACAGAGAAGGACGCACCATTCTTCTCACACCTTAGCTACGACACACACTAGTCACATACGAAAAATGCCATAACATTCTATTCTTATTACGGGAGAAGGATTTTATTGTTATTATTAACTTATGGTAGTGAAATCTTGTACATGTGAAACTTTCCAGAAAGAGTGATCACCAAAGCATACAAATATTAACACCTTCAACAGATTCCACAAGGTACTGCCCCTTACATTTAACAAAACATGCAAAATGTTTTACTTTTATGCATAACTCATGTATATTTAAACACTGAAAGTTCAGAGCAAACAGTGAGAGACTCAGATATCTAATTTTAGTATCACAACTTGTTTTCAAAATTTTCAAATCTGCTTTTCTTTTATTTATTCAGATTTTTGAGGATCTCTGACACATTTAACAGTCAATTTTAAAACTTTATGAAGACTTTAGAAAGAGTAAGCCTTGAAATCTTTCCCTTTTTGCATACTGGGTACAGATGTTTAGTTAAAAATATGAGTTAAAAATTAAACTAAGTTCATATATAATAAAAATTCCATATACTAAAAGTCAGAGTTTCAATCTAAATATTTGCCATTTTGAACAACAGATCTTTTTTTAACTCCCCAATCTATATATTATATATTTTCTTTTCCTTTATGCCATGAAATCTCACTCTGAGGAAACCCATGTCCTTTACCTTGAAGCAGACGTGCGCTTTCCCCAGCTCCTTCGTAACATGTTGCCATGTTACACCGTGTGTGTTTATTCGCAGAACTTTTTTATTTGCCCTAATGAAAAATTGCTTAGGGGAACTGTAGTGGTTTTTTTTTTCCACAGCACCGAGAGTCACTTTGTGCACCATTTTATTAAAAACAACAACAAAAAAGCATGGAAGGGCCATGATGCCACTGCTCAATGAACAGAAACCACATTAGAAAGACTAACGGGTGCTGGTTTAGGTTAGATCAAATGACACGGGCCAGCTCTGTGTGTTGTTGGCTTGAGTAGTTGTTCTCAGTGAGCACAGATAATCTCTAAGAATGGACAGAAGCTAAAAGAAAAAAAAAAACAAACCTGATTTCACAAAAACTGGCCCTTCTGTAACTGCAGTTCGATTTGAAACGAAAGGTAAAGATATTTCTGAAAGTGCACTGGATTTTTTGTTCTTGTTGTTATATTGCCACTGAAAAGTTTAAAAGTAATAAAAGGAGATAGTCATAACCATGTATGTCAGAAACCTTCCCCAGGCCTTGGAGGTGCAGCACACACATTTCACAGCTGACGTGTTTCCTTCATCACTGATGCGCCGTTGTGGCACAGCTTCCAATTTAACAAACTCATTGTCTGAGAATTTCCTTTGTCTTTCTTTCAACACGGTCACAAAC